GCGAGGCCTCGCTGCCCCCAGGGAACACGGGGCTCGGGAAGCAGCCAGAGCCAGCGCTGCTGCCACTCTCCAGCAGAGAGTTTCACAGGGCAGCCGTTTGGGAGCAGTTTGTGTGCTTCACCTGATCCCCCCAAGAGCAGCACAGCTCGGCCCAAAGCTCAGCACGATCCAAGGAGCCCCTCCGGCAAGGGAGCCAGGCACACGGGACAGACGGCACCTGCTCCGGCACCTCTGGCTCACTCCTGGTCACGGGCTTTTCCGTGCTACGACTTCCCCCCGGGTCTGACTCAGAGGCAGATGCCAGCGGTGGCAAGGGGACAAGCAGGGATCACTCGTGCGTGACCCAGCCTGGGGCTCCATGCTGCCTGCACGGAGCAGCTGCTGGCCAGCTGTAAGTGGCACCAAGCATTACAGTAAAGAGTAAGACCAGAAATAAATGAGCTTCCTCTCTGCCCAGAGCATTTTAATAGGAACGACGAGGCTGTACATCCTCTGGAGGCAGGAGCTGATGACAGGGACAGGCCCCAGGACTGGGTCCCAGCTCTGCCATACTGGTTGACAAAACCCCTTTTCTTTTTCCCCACCTCCGGTGGTCCTGGTCCTGCGACGCCCTCTCCGCCCGGTGTCTCAAGACTGCAGGAGGATGCAGCTCATGCTGACATAGGGACCATGAGCCAGCTGTGACCGCTGGGAGCCAGCACCGTTCTTGCTGCTAGGCTCATCACAGACAGTGCCAGAGGCATGGGCACGCCACCCTCCGCACCCCACCCTGCAGGGAGGCATCGGCCAGCGTGAGGAGGGGGCCAGGAGGCAGCCCCTGGCCGGTTGCCATGCTGGCTACCTCCCCAGGCAGGAGAGCCCGGCTCCAGAGAGCAAAGCCAGCCAGGTGACCCACAAAAGTTTCTTTGGTGCTGAAGTCCTTGCCAGCGCAGTCCTGCTCCTGGCCCAGCACCAGCGAGCCACCAGCACGAATTTCATAGCCCTGCTGGAAGCCAGAGCCGGCGGCCAGCAGCCGCCTGTCCATGTAGAAGCGGTACTGGCCCTGGCCGGAGGACCAGGTGAGACAGAAGTGGTGCCACTTGCCATCCAGGAGCCACGTCACCGGGAACTCCCGAAAATCCCTGTCCCCCATGACGAAGCGTGCGGAGCCAGGGAGGTCCCCACTGCGGCCACACACAGCCAGTTCCGTGCCACTGTCCTCAGTGGTGTAGGAGAGGAGGGCACCGAGGCGGGGGGGAGTGGCCAGCCAGGCACAGAGCGACAGCGCCCGCAGCCCCTGGCGTGGCCCCAGCCCCAGGATGGCCACGCGCTCGGCAGAGGTGTTGGGGAAGAGCAGGATGGCACCAGTACGGCAGGCTGGGGAGGTAGGCGCTGGGGCGGGGGCCCCGTACCTACCCTCTCCT